GCCAGTAAAACACATGTTGGTCAGCTCAAAATTCTACAAAATGGATGTAAATAAAACACACAGATTTGTCAGTCCTTCTACATTCAATTTTCCCAGAAATGCAGCCAGTTTGGAAGTGTCAAATCGAGAGTTACCCAGATCCACAGTTTACTGGTACTTGTCAATAAACAACACGCTTTGAAAGCTACACACACAACCCGTAACAGGTGACGTAAGTGGAGTACGCCCTCAAACACTGCGTTTCAGACAACCACAAGATATGCTACGAACGCTGATAGGCTAATGGGTGATATGAGACCTATGATGTGGCTTGGTGTGCCATGACACTTTGAGGCGGGAACCAGCCAGACTCACGGGTGGACTCAGTCCAATCTCCCTTGCAGTGTTCTACGAAAACTGTTGATGTTCTACCGCAAGGCACTCCGGGAAGAAGAATGGACCCAGCCAGCAAAGAAATTGATGATAAGAAGTAATAACCTTTGAAACGAGACGTTCAGAAAATCAGCTAGAAGTGCCCAATATAGAACATGAACTTGGACTAATGAGCTTCAGAAATGATAGCATAATATTATGATTAGAAATTCAGTTAAAGCGGGGGAGTCGTCACCCGAGCATGCGTCAGATGGTCATAGCGTGTCGTTGTTTACAAACAAGTGTCTACCCATGAGCCTTTGCGTTTTTAGCGTGTGTTGTTATCGTCGCTTGGGACTCAATTCCTGCGCGCGCGCAGATGACGACCCTCCCGCTTTAACAATCGCAAATTTATATTTTTAAATTCACGTTCGAAATTCATATTCTGAGGTTTTGTGTTGAATACGCGTTTTAATGATTTGTTTAGAATAATCCAGTGGTATTGATAATGTGACGTTAAATGCGGGGGGCCTTTCTTTAATGCCGGGCTAATAGTCTTTGTCTTTGGCAGCGTGCTTATCTTATAAATCTCCTTCCTCTCAGCTTGTCCGCTGTCACGGGGTGGGGATCGTTTGGTGAATGTATATCACCACAACTGAGGCTGTGCAGAGAAAGAAATATACCAAAAACGATTATAACAAATCAACACAACACAATATATACGGTTTCCTGTACTTTAATAAACAGATAACAGGGATGATGGTCACTGGAACCAGCAAGGAGGGAGATACACTGCAAAATAAAATAAACTAGAGACTTGATCGATGCTGCATTGAACACTCCACTCTCCATTGGACAGCAATGTGCAATGTTGCATTCCTTCATATCTGGTACACTGTCGAAGCAACTGCACTACAATTTAAACTCGTGCTCTGTGTCCAGGGAGTATCGGCAACTGCACTGCTATCTGCTGCTACTGGCAGTGCTGGTACGACGAGAGTAGTTCAGGCAGTGAGCTTCAGTGGTTCCTGTTGATCAGCAGGGATTACTGGACAGCACGTCAGACTCTGCATATGTACCCCTTTATGGGGTACAACTCACTGGAGTCAGGAATCAGCATCACAAGATGTTATGGGATCAAGTCAGGTCACCTTCCTGACTAAAAATTTTCCCTTATATCTCAACTTAAATACAGTATCTAATTTATGGCCATGCAAATAATAAAATGTATGTAACGAAATGATTGGCTGTCTCGAAATAACGGACCAATCAGTGTTTCCAGAATGCCCATTTTGGTAGTGGAATAGACCACTTTTAATCCGAGCTCTACCAATTTAAATTAGGAGACTCGGGTCAATGATGTCATATCTATTTTCATTGCCAACAACACTGAGCTAAGCACATTCCATTCCATTACATGTCATTGTCTGAGACATACCATTAAGCCACAGGGAGAGACAGGATATATGTATCTCAAATTCTGCTGACAACACAATCCAGTGACTGTATCAGCAGTCTTAAAAATAAACATGTGCAATGGGTTGTTGCAAAGTATCCAAACATGTGCGCTTTTCATACACACAGCCAGGGCTCTGTACTTTTCACTTACAATATATGTCACAATAATAATTAATGCAACTGTTGCAGATTTTTTTTTTCGAGAAGTAGTTTGGGTTCATCGTACCATCAACTGTGTTACCGACAT